TGTGGGGGGAGCTGAGCGGGAGGAAGACGTGGACCCCTGAGTGCCCCCAGGCAGGTGGGTCATAATGCTGCCACTACCTACTGTTCCCCCCGAGGAGAGAGGAGGAGACTTGGGGGAGCCATTGGGGGTGGTGGGTGAGGTCTGGCGGTTCTGAAGAGTAAAGACACGGAGCACAACTTATGACTTCTGAGTGACAGTCTGGGATATGGTACTGATGTGATAAACCATCTCATGGTATACTGAGGGATCAAAGCAATATGATCAGATGCTAACTAAAACTGCAAAACACATACTTTTTTGCTGAACTTATTATATTCCAATTACTCTAATCTATCTGATATATAAAAGGGTAAAAAAGGAACTCATACCAAAAACAATGCCCATATTTTATACCAAAAGCCTTTCTTTAATTTCCCTTTTCATCATTAAATTGTGGTAATGATAATATTCACTTCTTAAAACCAAATTGTAATTACTCAATTGAAAGCATGCATATCCAAAGATGTTCTAAGACCAGCATATATATGGTCTGAGAACATCTTTGGAAGCACATGCTCTCAATAGATCTTGATATTTGAGTATATGTCAGACCATTTCTACTGATTTTACTGAATGTGCTATTTCTCACAAAGAATAATTGCAATTGCATACTTTGAGCATCTTCATAAGCCCCTCAAGTTGCTGCATCAACTGCTTGCGTGAATCTTGCAGGTAAGACAAGTTAGACTCCAGCTCATGCCGATGAGACCGCAAAGCACGAAGCTCTGCCACCAATGTAGGATTACTGCTGCCCTCAGCTCTTTCCTGCTGCTGCCTGCAAACATACACTCTGTTCCTGAAACCCAACTTTATTTGTAAACATATGCTGTTTTTTCATCTTTAATCAACCTTAGAAGTTACAAACCATATGAATATGAATGGTTGACTTTGGAATAAACATATATTTTTATGCTTTCCTTTGCTTTATCCACATGATGGCAGCTTTTACTCATGCTAAACCAAGACATGTGCCAAGCAGCAGTCAGCCACTTGAGTTAAAAATTAAAAGCATGGGACATATATATTTACCCCATTGTCTATGCTTTTGGCAACTGGAAATATAATTTTCCAATAAAAAAAATAATAAATGAGACTTTAAGCCTACTTTGGGAGTTGTACCTTTTCAAGTGATCAAAGACATAGCCAAACAAGCAAACTACTATTTAGCGCACATAACATAGAGCAGACAGGCTCAGTGCTTCATAACAAGAAAAGATGCCTCTCAACATGAACAGGTTGATAATCATATATCAGAAACATACAAAATCTTGAAAATAACTGATTTAATCTTAAAAATTACAATTTTCCATTGAAGGTCATGTCATGCAGAATTTTCTGTTATATGCTTTGAAAAATTATCATGAGTATTCACTGTCTAACTACATTAAATATTTACAGAGCTTTGTTTTATGCCAAGTGAAATATCAAAGCAGTGAATCTACTCACTGTTTATATTATATACTCAAGAGCAAACAAAAAAGACAAAATTACAAATCATATCAATACATATCTAGAATTATCTTCCAACTTCAGTTAGTTCTGCATTCACATCAATATAAAATACACAAATTTATATATACTTATTAAATCCTGCCCTCTAGGACAGTTGTAACTATGTTAATACACCTGAATAAAACTGATTATGTTAAAAACATTCTTCATTCTAACCTTCTTAGCATTCATGATGGCAAACATAAAAAATGAAATTACCTTAGAATATTAATTTCCTTCATAATTTCCCTATTCTTCGCTTCCAGCGACAAGATCAAATCTCGCTGAGCAGAAGATGCATCAAAGCCAGGGCTTGAGTCCACACTTTCACTTCCCTGCCATTAAAAAAAGAAAGATAATCATTTCACAAACACAATTCTGAGGATTTAGTGGGTAAAAAGTACAACCTAAAACTCAATTGTAACTATGTAACTAATGACTTTTACAAATACCAATAATAGAGATTGATGCTTAATATAGATCAGAGGATTTTTTTTAACAATTCAAATATTACAGCTTCTTAGGAATGCATTTTTAGAAGCAGGAAAATAAAATACCTGAAAACATGAGACTCGGAATCAGATGCAAAAAAGCAAATCTGTTGTTTTTATTTCTACAGATCATATGCCTTTCTCCTGGATATAAAGAGTTAAGTCAGAGATCAAAATTTTCTTTGCACAGTAAGAAAACAATTTTTTTTTTAACATTAATGTACAATATAACATTTGCTGGATATAGTTAGCAATCTCAAGAATTTGCAGGAAATAAAATCTCTTGGTGAAAAGCTTTATTATGTTAATGCTTAGCTGGAACCTAAATTTAAGGACAAAGGATAGGTTGGTAGAAAAAGAAGAAAGAAGTACAAAAAAGAATATTTATCATCAAAGCCTCCATTACCAAGTATACTAAAAGCTACATTCTAAAGGCCCAAAAGAACACTAAAGTAAACCAAACCATATATAAAGACATATGGTTCAGACTACCATATAGTCAGAGCTGACTTACAGAAAGGGAGGTCTGGTTAGCAAGACGAGCAGCATAATGAGCTATAAGTCGATGCTCCTCATCCAACTGACTCCAGTCTGGCAAGCTGCTGACACAACTTGCAGAAAATAAGCCTATGGTTAGTAGCTGACAGTTGTCGTGTTAGTTTTCAATAGTTTTTTTCAAGATGTTAATGTTATTTAACCTGTCACAAAGAAATATCAGTTAAAAGCTGTGCTCTTTCTTAAATTCAACTTGAAAACTAATAAGAAATCTTTTGTTAGTATATAATTAGTATCATTACCAGTGATAATCCCTCTATGAGGCAATATTAGTATAAAAACAAAGTTTTCTACAAACAGTAATCTAGTTACTCCCCAACTGAGATAAATCTACCTTCTACTGGAAGACCGACTTTCTAAGGAGGTAGGTATCGGTGCTGAGGCTCCCCCCTCAAAGCCGTTGTGTGACGGAAGAGGTGAAGGGGGCCTGTGAATGTCAAAGACTTTAAAATGCAGATAAGGGACTACCAATCTTTACTTTTTTTCTGAGAAAGACTGACAGAGTAAACTGCCAGAAACCAATCCGTGGAAACAGATACTGTATATGCATTTATAAATTTTATTTTTCTGTGTTTAGTAGAAAGACCATCTTATTGATTTAGATGTTTGCTGATTTTTCCTAGAGAAACACAAGTAAAAGAAACATAAAGAAACAACTTTTTCATATATTACTGAAAGTAAATAGGAATTTCTTTATGCATACATACAAAATATAGCCTCTGCTAATACACATGTTAAATTGAAATGATGGTCTTACAGAAATATATAAAGGAAACATATAGCAATATTGGGTTTACTTACACTTCACATCAAGAAAGAAAAATACCTTCATGTGTAAATAAACTTGGTTAAGATTCTACATGAAGAAAAGTTGTTTAAGAATTTATGTAAAGCTAATTGCTCAAGACTTATAGTGAAATTCTGTTCCACACAGATGCTCAGGTCCACAAATGCTTAGCCTACAAGGAGTTAATCAGTAAGCCCTTGTAACTGGAGATGATCTTTTTTTTTAATTCTATTAAAATTGATACTATTATTGTTATTGACATATTAATATCATAATGTTACTGAAATACTAATAACAATCAAAACAGTGAAATAATATAAAATAATCTTTCCAGAAATCAAGGAAAAATGTAAACAGGTGTGACAAATAGGACTAATAAATGACTCCTTGGTGACTAATCACTTATGGAGCCATCTCTGTATGAATACAATCAATAAACTAACATTGAAGTGGACATGGCATGTCCAGTGGGTTAAGAAAACATGATCAAGTATTTATATATCATTTCTATCCACTGTTTTCTCTTAGGAAAAATTCTATTCACCAACTTTGAGATGAACTATTGAAATTTCATTCTCAAAAACAGATTTAAGATTACTGACAGCATGAAACAATAACTTACACAATATGAGAAAGATTTAGTGTCTTCTCTGGCATTTCTGGAAATCTCGGTCTGTCTACTGAAGGTCTGTCAGGAACACACTTCAGACTGCGCCGAAAAGAGTGCCGCGTTGGAGTCTGTAATATTTGACATTATTTAAGACTGAATTACTCGTGCCATTCTCTACTGTAATATTTGCATCCCTTCTTAATGTATTTATTAGTGCATTATTTCCCTATAATTTTTTCAAAGACTATTACCAGTATATCATTCAATGACTTAATATTTGTATCACCGATTGAAGCAAAGTTTCTGCTGCCCCTGCATGACTATCTCTAATTCATCAAAGTCTGATTGGAACAAATTTGTACTTACTCCTTTCATTACAGTTACTATCATATGCAGAAGGCATATGAAACATTGCTTTATCTTAATTCTATCTCAGAAGCAAGGTCATCAACTGAATCAAGCAAATTTATTACTTCAGTGAAGCGAGTATAAAATATTTTGATTACAAACTAAAGAATTGCTTGGACCATGTGCATAATCACCTAATGTATCCCTAAGCTGTATCATTCACTTTATAATATGTGTACACACACATCAGTATATTCACATGACTAGTGTCATACAACATTTTGTGTAATGCTGCTCTAAAAGAAACAAAATAAGCCATTAATGAATTAGTTTATCAACTAATGAACATTGTCAGTTATTCCTTTTTGTAGGGGTAAATATTATGGTCTTGTATAGATGATGGTGAGAAGTGTTAGTTTTGGTGTCACAGGGTCTTAAAAACAAGCATTTGATAGTCCCATATAACAAGCAAATGGACAGCCTCTGGGCATAGTAGCAAGTAATTATAATTACTTTTGTAATATTTTGGTAAATATTCTCATATTTTCATAATCATAACTTGGTTATATATCATATTATTACTAATACTCATGCATATTGTAATTGACATATACAGATATTATCTTTATAATGGACTGAATTATAAGGGACTGAGAGAGGCTAGTACAACTGCCCTATTCAACATAAAACTACTTGTCAAGCACTCTTCATAACTAATATATTGACAACTTTTTGCATACATTTCTTTCATTGATGTATTTCACTACCATAATTGTTGTCAGTATATCTATCATACTATTGTTCTGCCAAACTGTTATCAATCCCTTTTCTGCTTTTTTTTCTTCATTTTTACTTATAGCTCTCTTAAGAGCTACATGTAAAATATAGCTCTCTTAAGATCCACAGTCATGACATTGTGATTCATATTTAAGTCTAGAGGATTACACATATTTCCTTTTCCACTCATCCTACACATCAAATATTTCATCCTCCGGGACTCTTTCTCAGCACAATCAAGTTATTCCAAGAAATGGCTTCAAAAGTTATATACTGCAGTTCTGTATTTTACATAATCTATTGGAGATGTAAAGTAAACAATGCTTAACTTGCAACTGTAATTACACTAACAATACCTTATATTGACTGAAATATAAGCTGTGCTCACTGCAACAAAAGAAGAAAAAATATGAATGGGAATGAATGAATGTCTTCACAGCTCAAACCATGCATTTTTAATGAAGATATAGTTGATACTAATCAAAAATATTCCTTGCCCTGTGATAATATTGTCTTACTCATATTGTTCTCTAACGGTTCTGTTTAAACAAAAAGGGGGGGGGATAAAGAATTACAAGTTATGAAATACAGAATCTCTACAACAAAACCTACAAAAGCTGTGTACTCCTTGACTTGATGGTGAATGGAATGAGGTGGTGAGAACCTTCCCAGCCAAAAACATTCTTGACACATGCTGTAGTTGTGGCACTTTTCACATTTATAGCGCAGTCCAGAGAAGTTTTCCCGTCTGCAGCCATCACACATGGTCTGATGAATAACTGTAAAACCATGTTTGATTACTGTCAATCTTTCCAATATTTCTATGAAAATCAGAGCTGAGTAAGTCCTGTAAAATTGATAATTCATATATTTTTTGGTTCTTCAAGCCATTTATCACTAATACAAATAATAATTTTCTATGCAACATAATAAAATTATCTATTTTGCAACATGTTGCATAAGATATTTTCTATTTATGCCCTACTTTAGTTATCTTGCAATTTAAGTTTTATTACCAATGCATACTTTAAATGCAACAATACAAATAGTCACAATACTAGGGAAAAAACAAAGAGGATAAACATGTCTAAATTAAACAAGCCTTGTAAAATTATGCCTTGTTATCACTGCCCATTTTTATCTGTAAAATTAAATAAAAAACTAGAGCAAGCATTGTTCAATAAAATTATATATATATACATATATATATTTGGGTTTTATTGTATATTATTTTTGCAACTCTGGAATCCTAGATAGTACCTTAAAACTTTCTTATTTACCAACTACAACAAAAGCAATGAAGATTATCAAAAATGATTTTTGAATGCTGTGCAACATCCTCCCATAAAAATATCCTATAGAGGTTTTGGGAAACCTTTAATCCTTAAATACAAACTAATCAAGTTTATAATAGGAAAAATGCATAGTACTATCTACGATCCAATCTACTGCCGCATCCCATGAAGAGATTTTATAGTATGCATATTTATAATACTATGTACATGAAGGCCATCAGAAAAAGATTTTACTATAAACTTTTTCCATGTTAGCTTTTGTATGTTCATTTCATTCTACACATTAGACTTGCATCACAATCTGTTTCAGATATGCATATCTCCTACCAGCTCTACTATTTTACAATACAGCAAGGACAACAATATCTGGGAGATAAGAACTTTTGTTAATAAAGGAAAGATTTCTCACTCTTCTTCTATAATTTACTATATGCTGACATTACATGATTTACTTCCACCCAGAAATTAAGCAAAATATCAATTACGATTCAGTTCTTCATATCCTGATACAATTACTGTGATGAGATTTCACTACTGTGCAGAGAGAGGGAAATTTAAGTCCTGGGTTACTGATCCAATTTTCTTTTTCTTCTTTAACTAATCATACCTATGCCATAGAAAAGTGGCATTATATCTAACTGCCAAAGTTCTTCTCATCGTGGAGTCACGTTTTCCTGAACATAATTCCTGAAAGCTAGAGATAAGAAATATATAGAGATGTATGTGTACTTCTTGCTATACAACTTATCAAGACTTAGTAGTGGCAAAATTTTCTTTGCTAATTTGGAAATTCACAAAAACTTTGTATTGTCATATAAACTCATTAAGATTGGGCTGTGTGTTCCATGGACTGAAAGTTACAGTATTGGGGATAAATCTTTGAAGCTCAAGCACTTAGGATGTGTAAGATTTCTGTACAAAGTAACCTTGAAAATAATTATACATGGGAATAAACACAAAATGAAACTAATATCATTACAAAGTACTGTTTCTCTTACATTACACAATGAATACTGTTAACTAAAGTGCCTTCAATATAAATGATACTTCATGTTATGGATAGCAGCTAGCAGCCTATGCCTTATAAACATAACAGATAACTTCATG